GTCAGCCCAATATCTGTTAGACCAAGGCCCAAGAATGTTTCAAAATCAGAATTCCCCTCCCACAAAACAGTGGATCACAGGCCGAAAAATTAAAACAATGGATCGGATTCGTTTTGGGCCTGTTTTTTTCCTAAATTCTGGTGCAGCCCAGTTGAAGATAAGCAATATCACATCCAGATCTCCAGAAATCGCGTAGCTTTCGAGTTGCAGGGGGGATTTGTGAATTTTCTCTCGGATTCTCACAAATTTTCTCGGGAAAATGTCTTCGATTGGTCCTGCAAAGACGATTCTCGAAATCGCTAAGTTCGGCATCTACGTCAGTATTCCGATCTTCCTCATGTACACTTTCGCCAACAATTCCAAGAATCTTCAGAGAGTCATGAGAAATGTAAGTTCAGTTCAATATCTCCGTGAATGGATGTAAAGTAGCGTTTTTCGTTAATTTCAGTGATTCATCATCATATTGATTAAATTCGGTTTCTGGAGTTAGGGTTCATTGATGCTATAATATTAGGAACTGTTTCGATCTTGAGCTACTTCTAATCAGTCAAGATGTTAAATTGGATCAAACTTAGATTGCTTTTGGATCACCAGATTACTTCCTAGAGGCATAGGGATCACCGGATTCTCGGTTGCAAGATTCAGCTATGGAAGCGTGAAATATTAGTTGAAGGAGAATTTCTATTATTGCATGAGTGAGAATTTTCTTTGGACTAAATTTAAATCTAAATGCGGTTATCCAGACTCCCATGGTTATTGGCAAAATGCATTCTTTGATATTTGCTCATCTGCTTAATGTCATGAGACACAAGGGTTTGGATCCTTGTTTTGTCTCTGTCTGTGTGTAGAGACTAATTTTAAATGTAACTTATGATTACTGGGCAGCAGGGTAATAATATGCTAGTAATTAGAGCATAATGGAGTTGGTCATATTGCAATCTGCTTAATGTTGGTATCAGCATAACTTGCGCTTTGCCATGGTCCGTTTCTTTCTCTTTTCTCTCTGTTTGTTATTTAGTAAGAACTGGACAAGCATCAAGAAAGTTCTCTCAACCTTCACTACATGCTTCTGTTTGTACTTGGTAATTTCTGAGAAATTATGGATGGTGGATGAATGACTATTCATCAAGATGAACTGGCTAAACCCCTATCTATAGCTTCTTCCCCCCCTCTACTTATTTCAGTTTGATACATATGTTATGTTAACTGAAGGTGATCTAGATGGTAATCAGGTTGAAGGCTCTGTAGGATTTGGGTTCTTGGTAGGCATGTGAACGAGGCTTATTTCTTACGTGCTTGTCAAAATGAGGTTTTCTGGTCTAAAGAAATTAATTAATCTTTTAGCTTTTACTTGTTGGAGCCATATGGTATATGATGTTCAAACTATTATGCTTTATCAGCAAGACAATTCATTGGGTTTCAGAAAGGTTAATGAGTTACATGTGGAATTCTTTTTGCCCAACAATTACATTGCTAATTCAGAATCTAACCCTTTAATTATGGATACTTTACATTGTAAGAACTGTGTTTATTCCTCTCAAATATACTCATATTTAAACCTTGTTAACTTATTGGAGTGTAAACCATTTGTTTTGTTTTGATGTGCAGCGTTCCTACATAGTGTATCCTAAAGAGATGGAGAAAATCCCATCACCAGAGGAGTTGATGGAAATGGCACGAGAGCTACCTCAAAAGAAGAATAGCCCTAATGGTTCTTAGGGTTGTAAGTTATCAAGAACATATATTATGTAATATACAGCTAAAAACATTGTGGTTCTTATCTGACTAATGGAATAAGTTGTTTTCCTCACGGTATCTTGTAGATAGTTTTCTGAGCTGTGATTAGAAATATTACTTGATTTACTCTTACCTGTGTTTAAGATGGTTCACATTCTTTTCTTAGGTAAAATGAAAACAGTTGACATTATGCTTTCATATGTAACTTATGCCGTGTGCTGAATCTATGAACGGCTCAATATTGTAAGATTAAGTTGATAGAGCTTTACCCCAATAAGGTGTCTAAATGGTTAAGAACTTGAGACTCCAAATTAAAATTTTTAAGATCGAGGCTTGAGTTAAGTAGAGAGGGATTTAGGAAGACGAAAGAATTATCCTTTTTTGTACAGTCTATGATCAGGTGTATTAAAATAAAAAGAAAGTTGATAGAGTTCTACTGTTGTCTTGTTGTTTGATAAATGAGTGCTCTTTCCGTCAGCTTGCAAATGGCTAAATTAAGATATGCTTTTGATTAGTATGGATTCTGTGGTGAAAATGTCTGGATTTTTCCCTGATCGCTTCTATGTTTGTGGCTGTCTTGTACCCAACAAAAAAAAAAAGAGGAAGAAAAGGTTGTGGGGGCCATCCAGCGACAGGCCGAAATTTTAACAGTGGAGATACGGTATTACGGTCGCCCCTTTAGTGGCGGCTCCACACGAGGCTCACGTCTCTGATTACTGGCACCGCTGTATTCAACTTATGGGGCCCTTTCAGACTTGAACTTACCAAACTTCCAACCAGTTTTGTTATGGAAGTTTTTTGAATGGTAAGAGTATAAGAAATTTCTCCGATTTAAACCTTAAAATTTTGGGTCGAGTAGGGAAGGATATGAAAAAATTCATGTACTAATAATATTGTTAAGGTTAGATTTGTGAAATACAAGAGAAATTCCAGGGTAGAAGTGGGGGGTTTCTATTTTTAAATACATACATATACATATTTTTTTTGAAGTACCTAGTTTAAAATACATTCGATTTAATAGGAAATAAGATATTCTTGTGTTAAAAATGTCAAGTTATTTAATTTAACCTTTCTCGACGTGGCATTTGTGTTATATTTTAATCTATTTTTGTGGTTGATATTTTTTACATATTGTATTTAAAGAGTTTGAGACTGAATGAAATCAAGAAGCATAAAAAAATTGTCAAAAATAATAATAATTAGATAAAATATTTTTAGCAAATTAATATATAAAAAATATATTAAAAATATTTAAACAATAAAAAAAACTTAAATTAAATATCTTAATTTTCACCTTCCTCTTAAATCAAATTTCAATATAATAAAAAAAAAACCCAAAATTCACATTTTCACATGAACTGTGTATGTTAAAATAATAATAAAGTAAAATACAACCTTTTCTAAATTAAAATAATAACAAAGTGCTGTT